TTTCCTCTAAATGCAGTCCAGTAAAAATACCTAACTAAACTAGAGAACCAAACTCATATGTTAACTTGATTTCTTCTAGTCTAGATTTAGAAGTAATTCTAGAACTGATACAAGAAGCGCTAGAAATCATTACAAAATTATACAGCCTATAGGCTATATGATATCCCTCTATGTGATCTAAGAACAGACTCCCAAGGTCATCCCTTAACCAAAGACACCATGCCTGCTCTCATGTCTCTTGAAAAATACGATTTGTGCTCTTCAGATTTGGAGAAGAAAGGGTTATATACATAGAGATGAAAGAAAGGAGAAACTTGTGCACATGCTTTGTGAAAAATTGAAGTTGTGGGTATTCCAAAATCTAAGTTTTCAACCTAAGACAGATCAACATGAAACATTATATAGCAAAGAATTGAACAATAACACTTTTAACTAACATCTAAATGTGGGGGAAAAAAGAGCTTGAAACTCCAATATGATACAAACTACTAGACCCAAATATATACAAATTAAAAAGTTCTCTAACACTAATATTGGCATAAGCTATCGATCAATCCTTCATATACTATCTACTATATAAAGCAATATGTCAAAAGAAAATGCTATGCTGTTCTAGGCATGAAGAAAAGCACCTAGCATCTAGGCTTCCTACGTCTGCTGCGGCAATCACATAGCTGAAATGTGTTGAATACTAGATGGGTTAAGCTGACACCTAAGTGGATTCCTAGGCCCTTTTACAACATTAATGATTATCTCTCTAACGTGTTGCATCTAGAAGGTGTCACCGTCAGGTCCTTTTTTTGTGGAGGGGGGGGGCAACCCTTTACTTATAGAATGTACTGTATATTTCAGTGCGCAGGCAGCAGATTATGTGGTCATTTCCAAAACAAAAACGCTTACGTATGCATTTTTGTGTGGCATGAATCCCCATTGAAATGGTTCAACAAATCTCTGATTGATGGATATCTCATATGAACATACCCTGTTTTGCTTCAGCCAGATGTCTGCACTTTCCTGCATTTTCAAAATTAGGTTGGCATAATATTATGAGATGCCAGGTTGGAGTACCTGAGAGTCAAGATGCAAACTGAAAACCTACAATTCCATTGAATCACAACCTTCAAATTTGACTTTGGGCCTCCTTTCTATAGGATCTTGGCATCAAATACCAAGCCAATAATCTTGCAAGAGATCACCTTATTATTCGGTTCCATACACGACTTAAATTAACTCTGCTGCCTCACTGAGATTCTAAGCTGATGCTCATTGATTCTAGAGTCCATTCGTTTTGATATGTTGGTTATATTTGCTATCTTTCTTAAAGGATTGTCAATCCCAGTGTAATTAACACCAGCAGTGCTCTTGCTTGAACTACACCATCTCCTACTCTTACCATCAGAATAATAAGCTCAAACCTGAAAGTATTTGCTTCTTTGCTGTCTTTCTTTACTCAATGATGCACCACTGGGGGAAGCTGGAGTTCGCATTTGCCTATCGGCTTGGGATCTGATGAGATGTTGCAGTAGCTTTCACACTAAGTGCATCCGTATGAGGTTAGGTTCTCGATTCATCCGTCCTCTTTTCACAATCAGTATTGAATCAGAGACTCCAAACTCTGCAGTATGATGAATTTCAGGTGAAAGTCACAGTCCACAGAATTGAGCTTGTGCATATTTTGTCCTGTGTAATATAACTATAGATGTGTTTTTATTTCAAAACATGACACATACAAGATGGAAAAGATCTTAACTTATTAGTAGTAGTTCATAAAGATTGACTATCAGTCAGTAGGACTACGAAATTATATAGCCTGCACACAGGATACACTACTATATTTACAGCATGACTATGCTCAAAAAAGATGAAGGAATCAAGATAATTCACCGGTCTTTGCTAAAGAGCATTTCACACACACACACACACACACACATACACACACACACACACACACAGTTGCACAAGCTCGAAAAAGATGAAGGATGTCAATATCAGGCTATGTTCTTTGCTCAAGAGCATTTCACACAAAAAAGACGGACTTCAAGATCAGGCTATGGTCTTTGCTCAAGAGCATTTCACCCACCCATCCACCCTACCCACCCATCCACCCATACACAAAAAACAAGAAGAAAGGTGATAAGAGCAATTAAGGCAACTTAAAGAACATGGAAATCAAACTCTGCCAATCAAATGATCACCAATGAATATGGATTATAAACATGACCAATAATTTCAAATATTGATAGGGAATCGAGTGATTTGCATCAGATAGTTACGTATGGTATGGTATGGTCATAGTTCTGAGTTATATGTAAACGATCCTTTTAAATCATAGTTCTTAATGCTGAAATAAACTACACCCTTATCCAACAACTTACTAAGATGGATGTGAATTGTAGGGTACATATGCAAGAAATGTATGACGAGTGTTTTAAATTAAATATGCATTGTATAATTGACTACATGTCAATGCATAATTGAGTACATGTCTGTATAAATATATGCATATATTAAAAGAGTGTCCAAGAAGTGTCGGGTAAATGAGTACCACACGTATCAAGTACTGTACAACTCCATATAGAAGTACTCAGAGAATCAAGATAATTCACTGGTCTTTGCTAAAGAGCATTTCACACACACATTCACATACGCACGCGCGCAGACACACAGTTACACAAGATCGAAAAAGATGAAGGATGTCAATATCAGGCTATGTTCTTTGCTCAAGAGCATTTCACACAAAAAAGACGCACTTCAAGATCAGGCAATGGTCTTTGCTCAAGAGCATTTCACACAGCCATCCACCCCACCCACCCATCCACCCATACACAAAAAACAAGAAGAAAGGTGATAAGAGCAATTAAGGCAACTTAAAGAATATGGAAATCAAACTCTGCCAATCAAATGATCACCAATGAATATGGATTATAAACATGACCAATAATTTCAAATATTGATAGGGAATCGAGTGATTTGCATCAGATAGTTACGTATGGTATGGTATGGTCATAGTTCTGAGTTATATGTAAACGATCATTTTAAATCATAGTTCTTAAGGCTGAAATGAACTACACCCTTATCCAACAACTTACTAAGATGGATGTGAATTGTAGGATACATATGCAAGAAATGTATGATGAGTGTTTTAAATTAAATATGCATTGTATAATTGAGTACATGTCCATGCATAATTGAGTACATGTCTGAATAAATATATGCATTTATTAAAAGAGTGTCCAAGAAGTGTCGGGTAAATGAGTACGACACGTATCAGGTACTGTACAACTCCATATAGAAGTACTCAGATAACATAGCATCTCGTTGTTCTTCAAAGTCTAAAAGGACAACACAAGAAACTATCAGACTTGGGATTCAAAAAAAATGAAGTTTTGAGTGATTAGAACCCCATAATTAATACGAGTAGGAAAAAATATGGATATGGTAATTATAGACCTAGAAAAAGTAGAACTTCTTATAAAAAGTACACCAAATATGATCTTATAGTTATTATTAATTCAAAGGTTACAAAAATATTTTGATGGTCTAGGATGACTATACGAGGAACTATACAAGTATTCAAGAATTTAAGTGAACTTTTTCTTTTATCAATATTACAACGTCAAGAAAGATATCTACAAAATCAAGAAATTTAAAAGAAAGGAAAATAAAATAAATAATTATAGAGTATTTCAAGAAATTCAAAAACTTGACAAGGATACAATCAAAGCACCACTTTATTTTCTTCTAAAAGATTAGTAGAGAACATGGTTTCATGCTTTCTTAAATCTTCAAAATCTATAAGTAAATCTTACAACCCAATTTTTTTCTTCAAATCTTCCAGATAAAAGTAGCACGGAATGTAACATTACTGGAACAAAAAAAAATACAAAGCACCAATGTAATTAAATATTCCTGTTTTACATATCATTTTTGTGTTTCTCAAGAAACATATTTAGAAATTTCCAAATTCTAAAACTGTTCTATATTAAGAGTCAAAGTCTACGAAAATTAAAGCAAAAAGAATTAGAACAAGAAATTTCTAGTTCAAAGATTACAACAAAATGACACTGTTTAAAAAAACAATAATCTCCATAAGAAGCAAAAATAGCTGAAAAGTCAAATGAAAATTTGTACGGGCCCTAGAACTAATGAAGTTGAACAAAATCTAGTACTCCACATGACATAACTTTAGAAGATTAAAACTTTCTCTACAAAATATGAAAACTTGAAAATAGTTTGAAATTAGAAAGCATGAACAAATTGAAAATATGTGAAAGTGTAAAGAGTTTAAGAAATTGGAAATTTGAAAAAAAAAATGTAAGTACGTAAAATGGTATTGGAAATTGCTAAAAAGTTAGTTTAATTCTTAAAACTATTGAAAACTTTGAAAAAAAATGAAAAGTAAAAACATAAAAAGGTAAGATGTCACCAACGCTAAAATGTCATTAAGGCGAATCGTTTGAAAAAACTTTTTAAAAGGTTTGAAAAGTCAAAATTTTGCATTTTGAAAAAAATGTAGTTTACAAATTTGTAAAAAAATATTTTAATCTTAAGCAAAACAGCTACCCTAAGATTTTACTATAGCTGCACTAATTATGTGTGCTAAAAAAGCCAACAAGCAGTTATCAACTTTGCATCATAAAGAATAGGTTATTAAATTAAAATACATAACCCATAAGGCCACAATGACGTGCTCACAGAAGCAGCACAATGTGATGGCTAACCAAAGTTTTTTAATCTCAAGCAAAACAACCATCCAAGATTTTACTTAAGTTGCACTAATTACGCTTGCTAAGAAAACCAACAAACAATTAACAAGTTTGCATCAGAAAGAATAAGCGAGTTAATTAAATACATTGCCAAGGAAGGTTTTTACATCTAAAGATGACAAGTTCAAGAAATTTGATGACAGTATGTTTCTAGCTATCAACATCAGAACATGATTTCAACAGAACTGAACAAAAATAAAAAAGTTATCTTCAATTAAAGGGTCAAGATGTTACCTTTCCCAACTTTGATTTTCTTCGAAGTACTTCCCCACCATGGATCCAGCGATGGGAACTTGAGGATGGGAGAATTTACCTGCATTGATCGATCAAGGATGTAAGCCGCAGAAATTTCCAATGTACACATAAATAGTAAAAAAATAAGATCGTTACCTTGAAATCGCTTGAGATCAGCTCCTCTCTCACCATGGATCGTCGAATCTTTGACGATTTAGGGCAGAAAACCCTCGATAGGCTCCTCTTCCGCCATAGATCGTCGAATCTTTGACGATTTAGGACAGAAAACCCTCTGCTTGAGATAGGCTCCTCTTCCGCCATGGATCGTCGAATCTTTGACGATTTAGGGCAGAAAACCCTCTGCTTGAGATAGGCTCCTCTTCCGCCTTGGATCGTCGAATCTTTAACGATTTAGGGCAGAAACCCTGGATCTCCACGAGAATTGAGAAGATAGGGGCACCGAAAAGCTAGAGTTTTTTTTTTCTTGGGAAGAATTTGGAAGAAGAAAAGGGAGAGGAGAGAAGAGGCTCGCTTAGGGTTTCGGTTTTGGGGGAAGACGAGAGATACGAAGGCCCCGCTAATCCATTTAAGCCGGTTTAAGTCGGCGTCAAGATTAAGCTAAGTAACGGTCATAATTAGGGTAAGTTTTCTTCTTGATTAAGTCTTAAGTTAAACCTAACTACATTTGGACGTGATTGTCGGCTGTCAAAGTTTATTCTCACTGATACGTGGGCCCATGTATTTGCAATAGGAAAGCGCACTATTTCAAAGTTTATATCTTACTGACACATGGGCCCACGTATTTGCAATAATAAAGGGCACTTGACTGGCATCTTATATATTTATGTGATTGACATGCAAGAAAATGGTAGAAATTAAGAGTTATGAATTAGAATAAAACTAAAATAGCTGCTCTTTCTGGAATGCATATCAAAAAGTCTATTAATTAAGTAATCAAATACTAATGAGAATTTCCACTTTTCAAATACATGTCATCTCCTTGTTCTCTACTACAATCAGTTTTTTTAAAAATTGAGAAAAAGTTTTTCAAAAAAAGAATATCTATATACAGTAAAAAATTTTAAAAATGTAAACAATTGAAAGTGATAATAGAAAATTAATCCAACAATGCTTCCGTAATTCCATATAATTCTAACAAAAAAAAGTATTTATATACATTCACATGAATCATTCATGACTCCATATTGAAATATGTATAATAACGTGACAAATTAAGGAAACCTTTTTGCCTGTTATGCCAACGCACACCCTTATCGTTTGCAACTTACAAATTGTGCTAATACTATTACATAAATCTGTATCTTGCTAATGCTAAGGGAAATTGGAAAGTTTGGAGGGCACATGGATGTAGAAGACGCAGGAGCCCACAAGAAGGCGGCCACAGAAGCAGCAGCAGTAGAAGTCAGTAGAGGAGACGACCGAGGCTCGAACCTGACCTCTTTGTCGTCCTCCTCTTCAGGACAGCTAGCCCAACTATCTTGGACCGAGCCCTCACTTGTTCCTTGGGCCTATTCCTCACCCTCCTTGTCTCCATTGTTGACATCCAGGACCAGCTATCCTCTTCTCTTCTCTATCTAACGCAAAGCGTCAAAGCAATTGGCGACTCGTGAGGAATAATAGAACTATCTAGGATCGATCTTAAGCTCGGCCGCCAGCTGTATCATGAGGTAGTCAAAGCCAGCCTTGCAGGCCAGGGCCACCTTGATCTTCCAGAGAGTGTCGTTACGGTAATTTTCAACAACCTCAACTAGCAGGCCTTGGACTCTAAAGTGGTTGAGGCGACTCTACAACACATGTATCTTGGCGAGAGATGACTCTCATTGTCTCTCAACTGGGGTTGTGTCCTTCCTTAACCTCTCATGTGCAACCTTCTCCTTCTTTAGTCAGTTCTGCAGGGCCTCAGCGTTTTGACGAGCTAGTTGAGTCCGTTTAAAAAGCATCAATGCTCTCCCACCTCTTGACCTTGGTCTCTTCCTTCAGGTACCTTATCACGTCATCCCGATCACAAAGCTTGTGCTCGAGATTGTAAAATCTCGTAAATTGTAAAATATTATGAAAAATAATATTAGATGAGTTTTTATTATGATAAATATTATTTATTGGTAAATGAGCATGTTAGTAATCGATTTGAGATCGAATAAGTGCGTATATAAGAGTAAACGAGTAAAAACATGCACACACATGCACAAAACTATAAACAATTTTGTGTTCTGGTCAGTCGACCGACCAAGCTGATTGGTCGACCGATGATGCCTAATCGGTCGACTGATGCCTTGTGCTCAATCGACTGACGGGGCCATTTCCAGAATCCTAGTTTGAGTCGAATTTCGGGTCTTTTTGAATTGGTTCGGTTTTGTTAGTATATATACGGATATAATTCACGAAAATCTCTCTTTTACATCATATTTCTGAACCCTAGCAGCCACCCTCTCCCCTCAAAAACCCTAGAGCATATTTTGGTGAATTTTAAAGCTTTGTGAAGCAAATACCGAGAAGAGGGCGAGATTGTTGGCGTTTGGCGAGGGAGGACCTGTTTTCTTGCACCTGATGCGGCATAATTATGTACCAAAATTGCAAGTGCACAATTTATCAAGTTATAGTATAAAAAATATCGATCCCACGAGGAAGGTGATTTTAAGAGATTATTAGAAATATTTCTTATGTTTTGTGCATGACAATTAGGAATAAAGAATAAGTGTGATTTTGTTGAGTGCTTGTTATGAATATATGCAAAAGATAATAAATTAAATTTTAGAAGAGAGAAGGAAGAATTAAAGAATAAATGAAATCACAAGGCAAGAAATATGAATTAATAAAATCAAGAAATAAAACCAAAAATGAAAAGAAAAAAAAAGTTAAGATGAAGGATTCAAAAGAGGTAAGAACTTTAGAATATAATCCATTAGCCAATTTCAATTACAAAATATAAACTATTCTCTTTTTATAATATTTCAACTTAGATTTATTAAGCATAGATTATCAAACCATTTAAGGAAAGTGTAACCTATCAAATTATCATCTAAGTTAAAATTACTATTCATGATAAGGACAACAACATGATAATAATCCTAGAATTCATAAGCATAACCTATCAAACCATTTAAGGAAAGCATAGATTATCAAATTCTTCTTCTACCGATTAGTTCTCTAGTTGATTATCCTAAACATGAACATTTTACGTACAAGAGAATAATTCATACAATATAAAAGAAATTAGACTAGTTTCATACAATTCTAAGATTCCTACAAGAATTAAATTCACATCTTAAGAAATAAAAGCAAGAAGAAAACTAATTACAAAATTAAAAAGAAAAGAAAAATCTAAACTATGAACAAGAAATAAATCTAATTACAAAGAAAACAAAAATCTAAACTACAAAATAAATTGCAGAAATTAAATGCAAGAAAAATAAATCTACTCTACAAATTAAAGTGCAAAAAGAAAATAAAAATGACAAGAAAGTAAATCTACACTACAAGCATGAATTTAAATCTAACTAATAAGCAATAATAAAGAAATTACTAAAAAGAAATAAAAGAGAAAAGAAATGCAAACCTTCAAATTGCTCTTCATCTCCATCCTCATCATTCAACAAGAGGAGAAAGAACAAATTTAAAGAGAAAAAAATTATTTTTATTAATTGCAACTAAAGTTACAATTTTTGGAAGGCCTTCTCAATTAAGAGTAGCCCTCCTCTCCAAAAGGAGTTTACAAAATTTTCACACCTCTAACCCCTCACTCTCTACCCCTATTTATAGTAATCTTCAATGAATATGAGCCCTTGGATTTGTCTTGAGCTCCAAGCAACAATCTTCACCTTTGATTTATTTGATTTTCAAAAGAAAATCCAATTCTTGAGCCCATTTAAAGTCCGGTCCAAAATGTAGCATAGCCGGCCCACTTTGATTCCATTTGATTTTTATTTTCAAAACTAAATCATTTCGGCCCAATGCATAAATCCCTTTGCTTTTAAAAATCAAATCCGGCCCAATGAACTCCGGTCTCCTATGCAAATCTGATGAACACTGCAGCAATTTTGAAAGTTCGGTTTTGATTCTTTTAGCAAGTCCGGTTTTGGGCCTTCATGCTTCATTTATTCAAAAATCCAAGATTGGGCCTTCATGCTTCATTTCCAGGTCCGGTCCATGTGATTTTCACTTGAGAAATCAAATTCAAGCCCACGGTCTTGCAACATATTTGGTTATGTGGACTTTGCATTCAAGTCCATCTCATTCCACTATTTGCATCCAAGCTCATTTGAGAATAAAGAGGATTTTGCTTCTTTTGGACATTTTGGCTTTTGGCTTCAATTGATCATTTTCTTCACTTGCTTGATGGGCTTCATGCTACAAAATAGAGAAGAGAGATTTTTGAGGGGTTTTTATATTTAATAATATTTATTTATATTTTCATTCATTTATATATAAACTAATCTAAAAACAATTATTAATGGTATATTTATTCATGTAAAATAGATAATGAGGATATAAAATTATAATAAAAATATGATTATCAGCACCCTTTGGTTTTTCAGCAGCATTTTGAGGCGAGTTTCATCTCCTCCATGTAGGCGTTAAAAATTGCATATGGATTCCCACACGCAGCTCAAGACAAAGAGAACATGATGAATGACATCGTCCGAGTCAAAGAAGTTTATTTGACGACGATGAAACGCATGAAGCGAATCGGTAAAAGCTCACAAGTCAATAAATTGACGAAACACACATAAAAGGGAAAGCAAGTGAGCCGAAGGAAATACAAACAGCCAAAAGAATAAAAAAGACATAACAACTGGCCAGAAGACTCGCACCCATGCGAGTCACCAAATGGTGACTCACGCAGCTCCGAGTCACCACGACTATTTGGGCCTCCCAAATTCCCAAAACGAGGATTTTGATGTTTTATTAGAATAATTTCATCCCAGGACCTCCCCAACTGTTCTGAAGCTATCATAAAGGGCGTCTGGTGGTTATCAACTGCAGATGACGTCAAAACACTTGATCTTATCAGAAAACACGGTGACAAAAGCCTATAAATAGAAGCCCAGGGTCTTCAATTGAGAGGATCTGAAATCTGAGGGCGAGGTGTTGTCTAATTGAACAGTAGATCATGAATTTCAGAGGAGAATTAGCAGATCTTGGCGAACTTTTTCATAAAGAAAAAAGCTTTTGAAAGATTTGAGATTCTCTCCCCCTCTTTCCTCCGGGTCAAACCTGTTTTTGACCTCGAGAAGAGCCACAATCTCGCTTGGTCGTGATTATCGATGCTGTGATTGTTTCCTTCGTGAAACAAGAGCATAATTAAACTTGTCAACCGAATCTGATCCGTGGCGGTCCACGGACTAATGCGTCCTCGGCACAGGCAAAGATCCCACACAAAGCAACAGGAGATAAACTACTGCTGTGTTTTATTTGATAAAGTTGTCATCTTTAATTTTTATTGTAAGAAGATCTTATAAAAAGATCGACTTTTATTTCAGTTTGAACTTGTAATCGATAAACGGTGTAACATGTTTGACATCAATGAAAACGACAACTTT